TATATACACACACACCCCTTCAAGTCTTTATGCTTCCTGTTATTCAATTCTTACCTGATTTAGATGCTTACCAATATGCTTAATTCCCTTTACTTTGAGCTAAATTTAAGTGAGTTCTGTTCCTTACAACAAAACCATTCCTGACCAAAACTGCATTCATTGAAATGGGTTTGTCTGAAATAAAAACTGATTCTTCTTACTATAAAAATGTTATCATCCAATAATACTTTTAATATGACTTTTGATTTTTTAAAAACACTTCACTAATCTTGTCCTAAATTTACATACTAAACCTTCTCCCATCCTGCTCCAATGAAGGAATGCAAACAGTGAGACAACCAAGCTTTCAAAATCATTAGAAAAAATTCAGCCAGACATGGTAGCTTACACCTGTAAGCCTAGCATTTTGGGAGGTTGAGATGGAAAGGATCATTTGAGCCTAGGAGTTCAAGATCAGTGTGGGCAATCTAGTAAGACCTTGTCCCTACAAAAAAATTTTAAAAATTAAAAAAATGGCTGAAAATGGTGGCACACACCTGTAGTCCCAGCTACTCAGGAGGCTGAGATGGGAGCATCACCTGAGCCTGGGACACAGAGGTTGAGGTGAGCTGAGATGGCTCCACTGCACTCCAGCCTAGGCGGCAGAGTTAAGATGAAACAACAAAATGAAACAACAACAACCAAAAAACAAAAAAAGAAAGAAAAGATCCACAGGCACAGGATTAAGGTAATAGCCCCAAATACGCTCCTTCTCATATATCGGGCTTCTATTTAGGTCCTTGTATATTAATCAGTACCATGTTTTTAAAGGCTGGGTTGGTTGAAGGGGAAGAGGGACTCATGGTTAAACATATGTGGAAAACAATGAATACAAAAAATAGGGCCGGGTGTAGTGGCTCACATTTGAGGCCACGAGTTCAAGACCAGTTGGGCAACATAGTGAGACTCTATCTCTATTATATACATATATTTAACTCCAGGGCTTCTCAGTCTTTTATATGTTAATGGACCTCAGAATACTCAGAGATGTATTATAGAGCTTTTCCCCATACTCAAGTCACTTAGAACCTTTCCTCCTCCACAGTGTATTTGGAGAAACCAGGGTTACACTAGTTTGGGAAATTGGAGAAAAACATGGCTTCAACACCAATTGTTCATAGTCCTATCTAAATAATTAACAACTATCCCTTCCAACTAACCCATTTTGTTATTTTCTTAAATCATATTGCTCACTTAAAGCAGGCCATTCCCTTGCTTTCAAAAAAAAATAAGCAAAAAAATAAAAACTACAATCAGCTACAATCAGCTTTCCTTAAATAAATAAATAAATAAATAAAGCAAAAAAAATTAAAACTACAATCAGCTTTTCCTAAGGCAGGAGTAGATAATTCCAGCCCTTCATTTAACTTCATTATGATCACGGAAAAGTATGAAGAGATGAAAGTATGTTTGAAACTAGAGAAGAAGAGCCAAAAAGACTTAAAATGGCAAAATCGCAAAATCATGGTATCAAGACAGGGCTGCTATTCCATGAAACTCTGTTACCACATTGCTGAGCATTAGCCTATCCATCTCACATCATCTCCCTACCTCTGTCCAACCTGAAAATAGTCATAAGGAATTCTGACTTACTGACAATTTGTATAAGCCTTAGTCTAAATTTTTAAAACTAGAAGAGCATTCTTTTATATTTGTAAACAGTAGCAGGTATATTATTAAATATGATTTTAAAATCTCCACTGATTTTTCCATCACTAACAGAAATCCTAAATAGAAAAAAAATTATCCCCCCAAGTCTACTTGGTGGATCATAATCAACGCCTCAGTCTGTCATCCAACACTGCTTATCAACTGTCTTCACTTAAACTACAAATTTCTGTCCTGCTATTCCCAAGGCAAAAGTGTTTTAATCAGATAAACCTTCTTGCCAACTCCCAGAACTGTCATACTCCATTCCATTTGTTGTTCTCCTACCTAACAACAGTATCTCTTCCTCATTTTTCTGAAACCATCACACTCTAGACACCTTTACCACTTCCACTCAGACCCCCCTGGCTAACCTAGCCCATGATCCTCCCAGTTCTCTGAATTTCCAATGAAAATCAAGAGCATCTTAAAAGCAAAGAGAATAAATTCCTCAGTATTTAAACAAGCAGCACTACTCTGAAAGCAAATGATAAAGGCAGGTAAAGGCAAAAAGTTATACAAATTGCAGTCAATTTTAGGTCCTAAAAAGATGTTTTGGCCAGGTACGGTGGCTCACATCTGTAATCCTAGAACTCTGGGAGGCCAAGGAGGGTGGATCACCTGAGGTCAGAAATTCAATACCAGCCTGGGCAACATGGTAAAACCCCGTGTATATTAAAAATACAAAAATCAGCTTCGCGCAGTGGCAGTATCATAGTCAATGAGGTTTATCCGAGGCGCGATTATTGCTAATTGAAAACTTTTCCCAATACCCCACCACGACGACTTGAAATATAGTCAGCATTGGCAATTTTTGACAGTCTCTATGGAGACTGAATTATTAAAAAAAAAAAAATCAGCCAGGCCTGGCAGCAAGTGCCTGTAATTCCAGTTACTTGGGAGGCTGAGGCGGGAGAATCACTTGAACCAGGGAGGCAGGGGTTGCAGTGAGTAGAGATTGCGCCACTGCACTCCAGCCTGGCCAACAGAGTTAAGACTCCATTTGAAAAAAAAAAAAAAAGGATATTTACTTTGAGCAACATCCCCACCTCGTGGACTTCTAGGATATTGTTAATACCATTTCTGCTGTATTGCACTTTTCACAAGCATAGGTACAAACACAATGTAGGTACATATACTAAATGCTATATCCTTAGCTAATCAAAAAGTACATGATTTTAAAATTGGAGAAAGTAATATAACTTGAAATAACCTTGGAATTTTAAGATATCATCTCTATAACTGGTTATTAAATTTCCCTATACCATCTAGTTGGAATAACTTCAAATTCTGGATAGAAGTTTAATAATACAGGTAGTGGCTTTATGAGGCAGTAATGAGAAAGAAACCAGTGGAATGAGACGATGGTTTAGGAAAGAAGCATAAATAAGACATTGTTAAAGCTTTATTAACCCATCTATTAATAACATATATCTCTTTAAAAAAATAGTCTTAAAGCCTCAGATTCTCCCTTTTCCATTATTACCTTTTTTGAGCTGTACACAATGTGGCACAATATGCATTTTCGTTCTCGTACCATAGTGACCAGATCTGAAGCACGCAACGTCACACCTGCAATGAGAAAGTAACATTTAGTAACCTTTTCTCCTCAGACACCTTCTGACATTCATCTTCAAAATTACAAGTCTTGTGTCTTCCTCACCTCCACCTTGCTCCTCCCCCAGTCTTCCCAAGCTTCCAGGTACATAGGGTAAACATTTTGGGAGCCATCCTTGATCCTTTTTTTTCACCCCATATCCACCCTCATTAGCAAACTACCAGTCCTACCTTGAAATACAGCCAAACTCCAACCACCTCTCACCACCCAGCACATCTATTATCTCACATGGCATTACCCTACTACTGACGCTACTCCTTCCTTCTGCTCTTATCCTCTCACAGCTGTACCCAAAGACTCTTAGAATTCTTTTATTTATTTTATTTTTTTGGAGACGAAGTTTCACTTTTGTTACCCAGGCTGGAGTGCAATGGCGCAATCCTGGCTCACCGCAACCTCTACCCCCTGGGTTCAAGCAATTCTCCTGCCTCAGCCTCCCGAGTAGCTGGGACTACAGGCGTGAACCACCATGCCCAGCTAATTTTTGTATTTTTAGTAAAGATGGGATTTCACCGTGTTGACCAGGATGGTATCGATCTCTTGACCTTGTGATCCACCCGCCTAGGCCTCCCAAAGTGCTGGGATTACAGGCGTGCGCCACTGCACCCAGCCAGAAAAGGATTCTTTTAAAGTTTAAGTTAGAAAGGCTGGGCACAGTGGTTCACGCCTGTAGTCCCAGCACTTTCGGAGGCCAAAGTGGGCAGATCACGAGATCAGCAGTTCGAGACCAGCTTGGCCAATTTGGTGAAACCCCATCTCTACTAAAAATACAAAGATTAGCTGGGCGTGGTTGGTGCACACCTGCAGTCCAAGCTACTCGGGAGGCTGAGGCAGGAGAATTGCTTGAACCCGGGAGGTGGAGGTTGCAGTGAGCCGAGATTGCGCCACTGCACTCCAGCCTGGTAACAGAGCAAGACACAGTCTCAAATAAAAAAAAGCTTAAGTTAGAACATATACAGGTTGAACATTCCCAATCTAAAAATCTGAAATCCGAAATGATCCAAAATCAGAAACTGTTTTAATGTCAAAGTGATGCTCAAAGGAAATGCTCACTGAAGCATTTTAGATTTTGAATGTTCGATGTGGGATGTTCAGCCATTAAGTATGCAAATATTCCAAGATCCAAAAAAGTCTGAAATCCACAACACTTTTGGTCCCAAGCATTTCAGATAAAGGAATTCAACTTGTATGTAATTCCTCTGTGTTCAGAACTTTCCAGTGGCATCCATCTCACTCACAGAAAACCTAATCTTTGCCATGGCTACAAAATCTTTTTCTCAGCCACACATGGTGCCTGACATCTGTAAACCCAGCACTTTGGGAGGCCGAGGTGGAGGATCACCTGAGGTTAGGAGTTTGAGACCATCCTGGCCAACATGGTGAAACCCCATCTCTACTAAAAATACAAAAAACTAGCCAGGCATGGTGGCATGTGCCCGGGAGGCTGAGGCATGAGAATCATTTAAACCCAGGAGGTAGAGGTTGCAGTGAGCTGAGATCATGCCACTGCACTCCAGCTTGGGCGACTGAGTAAAATTCCAACTCAGAAAAGAAAAAACATATATTTTTCCCTCTTCCTGACTGCATGCTCTACTGTTCTTCCTCTATCATTCTAGTGCACGTGCATTGCCCTCACTGCTATTCCTTGATCACATCACAGATCCTCACACCTTACCGCCTCTACATTTCCTGTTCTCTGTCTGGAATATTCTTCCTTAAAAAGTCCTTATGGTTCCTGTGGCTCATTCATTTCCATCAGGTATCTAAAATATTGCCTTATAGGAGAGGCGCTGCCTGACCCTCTATATAATATTGCACTTTCTGACACTCCAACTCTCCACACTGTTCCAGTTTCTCTATTCCCCTATTAATTGGCTTAATTTTTTTTATAGCATGTGGTAGATTGTTTCCCTAAAAGGTCTCAACAATATCTGCTACCCCATGTACTCTTGTGCAATGTGATCTTGCACAAAAAGGTAGATAAAGTCTGTTTTCCTTCCATGTGAATTATTTTGATCAATAAAATGTGGTAGAAGTGATGCTGTGTAACTTATGAGCCTGGGCTTTCAGGAATCTGTACCTTCTGCCTCTGTTCACTTGTTATGCTCCCTCTTGAAAGCCAGCCACCGTGCTGTGAGAAGCCAAAGCCACAGGGAAAGGCCTGGTAGAAAAGAACTGAGGCCCCCACTGAGCACCCAAACAACAATGAAGACCAACCGACAGCCAGAAGCAGGAATCATCTTGGGGGCTCCAGGTCCAGGCACCAACGACAGACTTGGGGAAGTGAGACCCATACATAAACCATCCAAAGAACTCCTTTTTAACCCAGAGAATTGTGAGACACAATAGTTGATTTCAGGCAGTAAATTTTGGAATAGTTTATGAACATGCGATATCTGAAATGTATCTTTTACTACATGACATTGTATGTATTTGTTATTATCTGTCTCTGTCAATTACAATTTAAATACCCTAAGAAAAAGGACTTTGTATATTTTGTTCACGAGTATAGTTCTGTCTATGACCTATCATAAGCAATTCAAAAGTATTTGCTGATTATTCCAAATGGAACTATCCATCTTGGATTACTAAATGTGAGAACAAGCTGAGTCAATACTGGGGTTTGAGGCCAGGCACAGTGGCTCACACCTGTAATACCAGCACTTTGGGAGGCTGAGAAGGGTGGATCACAAGGTCAGGAGTTCAAGACCAGCCTGGTCAAGATGGTAAAATTCCATCTCCAATAAAAATACAAAAAAATTTAGCTAGGCATGGTGGTGGGCTATAAATCCAGCTACTCCAGAGGCGGAGGCAGAGAACTGCTTGAACCCAGGAGGCAGAGGTTGCAGTGAGTCAAGATCATGCCACTGCACTCCAGCCTGGGTGACAGAGCGAGACTTCATCTCAAAAAAAAAAAAGTAACTGCCAGCAAAGTAAAGTATTAAATCAGTAAGGAAAACTTAGTATTTAAACCCTGAGGTGACAAGATTTCAGACAAAGTAACTTTAGTTTGTATATTCTTAAATTGGGGAAATAGATAAACTCCATTAAGCTTTCCAAAATACTGTAATTAGCGTAGACTTCTAGATGGGAACCACTGATCTCTTTAAAGGCCTTGACGAAGACTAGAAGCCAAGGAAATACAACCCATCCAACTCTGTGATCTCAACAAGGTAACAGAATTCACAAAATAAAAGTAAATAAGCAATTCAAACCTACTGCCATCCTCACTTTAGCCACCTTACTTTTCCCCTATGTCAATTAAATATACCCTTCATGAAATTTTTCAACTCTTCTCTAAATAACTATGAGAAAGACCTGTGATATTTGTTAGATCTAATATCCTAAAAACCCTGTCCTAGGTATTTTTTTTCTCAATATCCTAATTACTATTCTGTCAATAAAATTACCATTCTCCCTAGGCAAAACCATACCACGTCTGGTTTTCTTTTAGACTCTCATACTTAGTCACCAAGTCACTCACCCCTAGACAAGGAAATAGATAGGGCAGATCACAGTCTGATTCTTTAACTCAGAATTATAACTAGTGTCAGTTTCCAATTCCTAATTCTGGAACTTAGGAAGCATTCTGCCCTAGAGGAAAAACTAATCCAGAAATAAGGTGGGATAACACAGACCCTAACAAGGGAATAATACTACTAGCAAAAGTTATCATCTAACAGAGTAAGCTGTAAGCCCAACACAGCTTGTACAAAGACTGTTATAAAACTGTAACCAGATAGCTTGTTGCATTTATTTAATAGTTCAAAGTTTGTATTTAACAGTGTCATTTATATACATATTTTTTCCCAAAGGTTCACATCATAATTGAAAACTGTGACCTCAATCATAAGCACTGCAAGCTAATGAATGAGTCTATATGATCACTATTCTTCTCAAAGAATTTTGTTGTTCTCCATTCATCTCACTGTTTGTTTTTGAAACAGAGTCTCACTCTTGTCACCCAGGCTGGAGTGCTGCATGATCTTGGCTCACTGCAACCTCTGCCTCCCAGGTTCAAGCAATTCTCCTGCCTCGGTCTCCCACATAGCTGGGATTGCAGGCTCCCACCACCACACCCAGCTAATTTTTGTATTTTTAGTAGAGACGAGGTTTCACCATGTTGACCAGGCTGGTCTCAAACTTCTGACCTCAGGTGATCCACCAGCCTCGGCCTCCCAAAGTGCTGGGATTATAGGCATGAGTGGGTTAACAGTACCTTTAATAATCTTTATTTTGTTCATGTACAAAAGAACATTTATTTACATAAAACGGAACTGGATCATCATAAAGGTCTTCATCCTCAGTTTTCACCCTCAGTTTTCACACTGAATACACTGAGGAGGAAGCAGGGGAGGGGTTGGTCTTGCTGTCTCCACGGTGGCAGAGGCAGAGAAAAATCTGTTTATAAGTGGACCTGTGAACTGCAAGTCTGTGCAGTTCAAGGATCAACCGTATATATTTTCTCTTCCTTAAGATGTCCTTAATAATATTTTCTTTCCTCTAGCTTACTTTATTGTAAGGATACAGTATATAACATCTGTAACCTATAAAATATGTGTTAATTAACTGCTTATGTTATCAATAAGGCTGCTGGACAACAATAAACTATTAGTAGTTAAGTTTTGGGGGAGTCAAAAGCTATACATGGATTATTAACTTCACAGGGTATCGGTGTCCCCAACCCTTGAGCTGTTCAAGGGTCAACTGTGTTTTTCTTTATCAGTCTATCTATGGGTTTGTTAATATTATTAATATTTTCAAAGAACCAATTTTGTCATTTTGTCTATTGTCTTTTTCTCTTCTTTTTTTTTTTTGAGATGGAGTCTCGCTCTGTCGCCAGGCTGGAGTGCAGCAGCGTGATCTTGGCTCACTGCAACCTCTGCCTCCCAGGTTCAAGCGATCTCCTGCCTCAGACTCTCGAGTAGCTGCAACTACAGCTGCGTGCCACCAC